CAAGACCACCCCAAACCCCCTCAAGACCACCCCAAAACCCCTCTTAACCTCCCCAACCCCCCTCAAGACCACCCCAAAACCCCTCTTAACCTCCCCAAAACCCCTCTTAACCTCCCCAAACCCCCTCAAGACCACCCCAAAACCCCTCTTAACCTCCCCAAACCCCCTCAAGACCACCCCAAACCCCCCCAGGACCCCCCAGGACCCCCAGACCTCGAGGGTGCAGCGCTTGGCGGGGTTGAGCACCAGGAAGCGGCGCAGGATGTTCTCGCAGTCCGTGGACATGTAGAAGGGCACGCGGTACTTGCCCCGCAGGACGCGCTCCCGCAGCTCCTGGGGGGACACCGGGGTCACCGGGGTCACCGGGGGTCACCGGGGGTCACCCGGGGGTCAGGGGATTTGGGGCAGGGGGCACAGGGGGGACACACGGAGGAGGGGACGCGGGAGTGGCCCCAGAGCTCCTGGAGGGGACAGGAGGTGACCACAGGTACCAGGAGGAACCAAGAGGTGATAGGAGGTGACCACAAGTGACCACAGGTACTGGGAGGTGACCACAGGTACCAGAGATGACACCAGGTGACAGGAGGTGACCACAGGTGACCACAAGTGACCACAGGTACCAGGAAGTGCCAGGAGGTGACAGGAGGTGACAGGAGGAACCAAGAGGTGATAGGAGGTGACCACAAGTGACCACAGGTACTGGGAGGTGACCACAGGTACCAGGAGGTGACAGGAGGTGGCAGGAGGCCACAGGAGGTGACCACAGGCACCAGAGATGACGGGAGGTGACCACAGGTGACAGGAGGTGACCACAGGCACCAGAGATGATGGGAGGTGACCACAGGTGCCACCAGGTGCCCGCAGGTGCCAGCCGGGCGCCCACCTTGAGGTTGTGGCCGTCGAAGGGCAGCGAGCCGCTGACCAGCGTGTAGAGGATGACGCCCAGGCTCCAGATGTCCACCTCGGGCCCGTCGTACTTCTTGCCCTGGAAGAGCTCGGGGGCGGCGTACGGGGGCGAGCCGCAGAACGTGTCCAGCTTGGAGCCCCGCGAGAACTCGTTGCTGAAGCCAAAGTCGGCGATCTTGATGTTGGCGTCGGCGTCCAGCAGCAGGTTCTCGGCCTGGGGACATGGACATTGTCACTGGGGTGGGGACATTNGCGTCGGCGTCCAGCAGCAGGTTCTCGGCCTGGGGACATGGACATTGTCACTGGGGTGGGGACATTGTCACTGGAGTGGGGACAGGGACACTGGGGTGGGATCTTGATGTTGGCATCGGCGTCCAGCAGCAGGTTCTGGGCCTGGGGACATGGACATTGTCACTGGGGTGGGGACATTGGGATGGGGACACTGGGATGGACACATGGACACCAGGATGGACACAGGGACACTGGGATGGGATCTCAGTGTTGGTGTCCAGCAGCAGGTTCTCGGCCTGGGGACATGGACATTGTCACCGGGATGGGGACACCGGGATGGAGACACTGGGATGGGGACACTGGGATGGACAGAGGGACACTGGGATGGGATCTCGGTGTCGGCGTCCAGCAGGAGGTTCTCGGCCTGGGGACACGGGGACATTGTCACTGGGGTGGCGACAGGGACACTGGGATGGGGACACCGGGATGGACACTGGGATGGACACAGGGACACTGTGGGGGACACGGGGACACTGGGATGGACAGTGGGACACTGGGATGGGGACAGGGACACTGGGACACTGGGATGGACACAGGGACATCAGGATGGACACAGGGACACCAGGATGGACACAGGGACACCAGGACGGGGACAATGGGACACCAGGATGGACACGGGGACACCGTGACGGACACGGGGACACCAGGATGGACACAGGGACACCGGGACGGACACGGGGACCTCCCCATGGCACCACCCCTGCGGTGCCACCCCCGCGGTGTCCCCGTGTCCCACCTTGAGGTCCCTGTGCACGATGTTCTTCTGGTGGCAGTAGTGCACGGCCGAGACGATCTGGGGACAGCGGTGGCACTGTCACCTAGGTGTCCCCAAAATGTCCCCAAACACCCCCAGATGTCCCCAAAATGTCCCCAAACACCCCCAGATGTCCCCAAACACCCCCAGATGTCCCCAAATGTCCCCAAACCCTCCCCGGATGTCCCCAAACCCCTCCCAGGTGTCCCCAAACCCCCCCAGGGGTCCCCAAGGTGTCCCCAAACCCCCCCGGGATGTCCCCAAACCCCCCCAAAATGTCCCCAAACCCCCCCGAGGTGTCCCCAGGGTGTCCCCAAATCTCCCTAGGTGTCCCCAAAATGTCCCCAAACCACCCCTGGATGTCCCCAACCTGGCCCTGGATGTCCCCAAACCCTCCCAGGTGTCCCCAAAATGTCCCCAAACCCCCCCAGATGTCCCCAAAATGTCCCCAAAGCCCCCCAGATGTCCCCAAACCTCCCCAGGTGTCCCCAAAATGTCCCCAAACCCCCCC